TAAAAACCATCACGAACTAATCGACAATTAGGAACGACCCAACAGTTCTACCCATGAAAAAACGTAGAAATCCTCTCGATATTAAGAGAGTCGAAGCAGTCCAACCCTTTAATATCATTTTATTTTTCGTGAACCGCTCGGGTTTCCCGGCACGTACGTGTTCCCTGCCCTAAAGCTCGCACTCGAGATAAGCAAAGGGAATTCCTAACTTTTTCCCCAACAACCTCCAACATGATCGTGAATACCTAACAATCCATAGAGAGACACGTACGGAACTCGTCCGACCTGTACCACCTATTTTCTTCGGCCCCAAGATCGAGCCAATGGTAACTTTTGTCAGCCATCTGTCTCGATGCTATATTTCGCGCAATATTATCAAGCACGTCGAAATAACGTGGTCGTCGATAATCACTTCAGCATCCTAGAAGCGGATAAAAGTCCCAGGTATACCTACTTTATACATCAACTGACACAGTTTCTTTTTTTTTTTTTTTTTTTTTTTTTTTTTTCAATGACAACCCGACGTGTATCGCAAAGTTGGTCCACAATTTTTTTCTCCCCCATCCGGTGAATGAAGTAAAAGTTGGCCCATGAAAACCCGACGCTCCTTTGATCCTCCGTAATTGCGACTTGATAACGAAACGAGCGAACTTGCTAATTGAAAAGTGAACGGATAATATATATATATATAATAGGGTATAATAATATAAAAGCCACCGATTGACGTATCAGCCAGCAGATGGAGCTGAATGGGATAGCGTGGGAGAGTTTACAGTATATTTTGTTCATCCCTGACGCAGGAAATGGATATACTCTTCCGATTTCCCGGAAGAGCTATGTATACCGCTCAACAGCACGTGACGTTAAACGAGTCGTAAAATCTTATATTCCGTGGTGCTATGTGCACAAAAAGCAACAGTCGACGTGCATAAGTGGAATATGGGTGAAAAATGCTGTCGACGTATATGGGACTCGGGATTTTACGGTACGGGCGATTCGCGTTACGTGACTGATTTTGACTTGTGTGGAAAGCACGGAAAATGTTATAGATTGCCGGTGGAAATCATTTTTTCTCCAATTATGGGAGAATAAAAGGCACGCGCTTATTAAGCCTCGACGCGTTGGTTGTAAAAATGTTACCTCCAGCCCTTTTGAGTTTTTTGTTGTTAAATAAAATGAACAACGAGCATCTAGATGAACTATTTAAACAACAAAAAGTAACTTTTTATGAAAAACTAAAATTTTGAGTCTGATTTTATCAAATACTGTGTACTTTTAATTTTATTGATTCAACCACAAAGTTGTTTATTTTCATCGAAATTTATCGAATCTGGCCAAATTAGATTACTGAGATGTGAATTTTGTCAATAAAAAATCATAAGGAATCTTGTTTAAAAGCATAATTGATTTTTTTAACAACCAATTGTTCTACATCGATATGATTTCTCATACAAAAAGCTACATTTAACGAAACCGTAATTTTTTATAAATTTTTTAAGTTATTCCTTTAAAATTTGAACAAAATCACCGCTTCCATCATTTGGTTTTTACACAACGAGATCAAACAGATTGCTTTTTCTTCATTTAATTTTTTAGAAAAAAAAATCCATCCTACAAACAAGTAATTTCCATTCGATCCATGAACAGTTGATGTATCTCGCTGGATTTTCAAAGTAACCTGCAATTTTTTTCCCTCATCACATGAGATTACACACAAAAGAAAATCAGTTCTAAAGAGGCATTAAAAAAACTCTATTTTAATTATTTTTCAACCGCTGTAACTCACAATTTTTTCAGTAGCTAAAATAAATTCGTAAGGCGTACAGTAATCCTGTTGCTTCGTATAGGGATCGTAATTTTCTTCAAAACTACAAGTGTTAACACAACAAAGAGGGATGGGGAGCGCACCACCGCTGATCGACAAAAAAGGGGTCCTGAGTCTTATAAAACGCGTGAATTTAAAAAAAGAGGCGATACACGTGCACGTAGATAGCCGAAGGGATGAAATTCCCACGCACACGTCATAGACGTGGATTTTAACGTTGCGTGTGTGTTTTATGTTTTCAGGATAAGTTCGTGCGGAGGGTGCGCCGAGCGAGGGAAGGGGAAAATTGTTTTGCCCGTGGATCCATAAATTTTCAATGGGATTTGAATATCGTGCTACGACGACGCATGGATCGCAATTTTGATTCCTCTCGCGTTGTGTGCCGCTCAATGTTTTGACGATACGCTGTACGATTGGTAATGAAAATATTTAAGATTAGGGAGACTGTATATGCTCTGACGTGCACGCGTTGGTTGTTGTCCTGACTGGGATCACTGTGGTCTTTCGATTATAAAGGGATTACCGTCGGATTACAATATTCGACAGTTTTAAGACGCCAAAGCGAGCGCTGGGGCTTTTTTGGGCGTCGCGAAGTGATCCTAAGATTTTGGATGCTTCTGCATTTTTTATTGTAGGATAACAGATTTTTGGATTACAGTTTAGCAGTCTTTGGTTATATCTTTGGTATTATCTTTCAAATATGGTGTATTTTTACGTATTGAAGGTTTTCGGTTAAAAGGATAAACTTTGAAAAAAAGTTACACTTGAAAACAGAAGTTTAAACTTTATCACCGTAAAAATATGACGTATTATTGCTAGTTAAGAGTATATTTTAGTATCTGACATTTACTTCAACTTACTTCTATTTTGGTACATAGTTGACTCGTGAGTTGACAAAAAATCACTTGTTAATAATACACACAAAAAGTATTTGCGCTAATGTTTAGTAAAAATAAATGCAGTTTCTTTTTGGGGTAAAAGATTTCGAGTTACAAGTTAGGATGTCGTACATGACTCAATCTGAACATAATTCCAAGGAACACGGTGCCAAATCAATAAGATGGTCGAATTTGCACTTATCGGCATCCATCGATCAATCTCGATGTATTCACGAAAAAAGGGTACTGGCTTAGTTGACTTTTTCGAGAACCGACCGAGGTAGCGTTATTTTTTGTGAATATACTGAGATGAAACCTTTTTCACTGGTTGCTTTTAAGTCGCGATTTCTATGGTACAGGCACTTTCTCAGTCATGTTTTACCAGATAACCAATTTTTAAGTTACTACATCGAAATATATCACTTTTTTATCTACACTGACGATCATCAAACGTGTACCAGTTAATGGACCAATTACTATTTTTTCTTCTTCTTTTAAAGTAATTTTCAGTTAACAAAAAAGTTTTTTTTTTTTAATTTATTTAATAACTTCAATATAATATTTTTGTCGAAACTTGGAAGTGTTAAGCTTTTAAAATTTGATACGAGTATACGACAAAAAAGTACCAATAAACTTGGGAAAAAATTCATTTAAAAATATTAGTATTAGTGGCAAATATTTTATAAGGTTTTTGAAAAGCTCTAGGCCAACTTCTCGGAGGCGGCATTCAGACTAATTTTGAATTGATACGCTAAAAAGTGTCCAGATATTGATAATTGTGATCCCAAAATTAAAAATCTTGAAAAACCTTTCTCATACACATGTAAAAATTTTAATTCACATATCCTGCATTCAGGATAAGTAGGAGCTTTATACTGTGGATCGATTACTATTGAGGGCTCGTATTTTTCGTAGTCATATAACTTCATTTTGACAATTTATAGTAGGAATAGATTTAACATCGTTTCATTTTTCAAACTATGGATTTAACAACGCAAGACAATTTCGTTTCACCACAGGAGCACGCGTAGGATAGTAATTCTTGCGAGGGTAGTATTTTTCCTCGAAAGGAGATTTATCGGTGTTAAAAAAGCGACTTTCACATCAGCACCATGGCTAGAACAAGCCATCCAAAAAAAATTTTACGTGTGAGTCTGATAAATCAAAAACTTTTGAAAAAAACTCATTATCGAAAGGATCGCGATGAAATAAAAACACTTGGAACTCGTTACAACAAAAAAATGGGTTTTTACGGACAAATTTCAATCGACCCTTTGCTGCGCAGATGCGGCAAGCCAATTGGATTACTTTTGTACGCAATTCAGTTTCCTCGTGAAACTTGGGCCAAATGAGTTTCATAAAACCACTGCCCGCGAAAAAACCTGTCACTCAACTCGACTTGTTCCCTGTCACTTGGCTCTCCATACTTCTCCACTAGCACCGAAAAAAAGGGTCTTCGCCTCATGTTTTACCTTCCATCTGCAGTGGTACACGTAAACTTTGCTGGGAAAAGAAACATGCGTGCGGAAAAAAAATTGAGCCTTGAACTTTGAAACCGCTATCGCTCGCGAGCTCCGGAAACGAGAATGTGAGAAAATCGCTCGCGTCCGGCTGCGCTTATGCTTTGATATTGTTTTTAGCTTACTCTCAGCGGCATGGAAATGTTCGGAAAAAAAAGAATTCCATTTCCAAGCAAAACACTTCCCTCACGAAAAAGATCCCCAAAAACAACTTTCTCCCCCTCCTCTGGGCCTTTAACCCGCAGTTCACGTGATAAGTAATCTGACGTGACATGTGAGCATTAGTCGGGATGGCTATAGATCGCTGGAAGGCGAAAAAAGCGATTTCGATGTTGAAAAAAAAAAAAAAAAACATACATGCAGATGCGGGTCTATACGGTGTAGCCTGTGGAAAGTGTAAAAACCCTCTCTTCGCTGGTGTGTTTTCACAATGTACCAGCAGCCACTTTGTTTTTGCTTTCCTAGCCTTTTCGATTTTACTTTTTTCTTTTATTTCATTTTTTTATTATAATCATTTCAGGCATTGAATGCACGAACGACGCAGAGCGAAAATAGAGAAATTTTCCAAAGGTGATGACGTTCGCGCGAAAATTGTGAGAAATCGAATGAGTTTTCTATAAAACAGTTTGTGTCGAATGGAAGAGTTAAAGTCAAGTTATTAAAAAAAAGTACATGAAAAAAAAGGTTGCTAAATTTTTGAAAAATTGAAGAAACGAGATCAAAAAATGAATAAGTAACCATCGTGCACAACATGCTAGATAAAAAAGGCAAACTTACGCTTCGCAGAAATTTCGACGCCAAAAGAGGCGACTAGCAGAATCGTCACGAACAAGCCCAGTAAGCTCGACGTTGTACTTGTCCTGGCGCTTTTCATTTTATTTACTCAGATTGCTCCTTGTAACTGGTGATCTCCACCGATTTTTCTTAGAAGTTTTTTTTTGCCGAAGGGATGAAATTCCCACGCACACGTCATAGACGTGGATTTTAACGTTGCGTGTGTGTTTTATGTTTTCAGGATAAGTTCGTGCGGAGGGTGCGCCGAGCGAGGGAAGGGGAAAATTGTTTTGCCCGTGGATCCATAAATTTTCAATGGGATTTGAATATCGTGCTACGACGACGCATGGATCGCAATTTTGATTCCTCTCGCGTTGTGTGCCGCTCAATGTTTTGACGATACGCTGTACGATTGGTAATGAAAATATTTAAGATTAGGGAGACTGTATATGCTCTGACGTGCACGCGTTGGTTGTTGTCCTGACTGGGATCACTGTGGTCTTTCGATTATAAAGGGATTACCGTCGGATTACAATATTCGACAGTTTTAAGACGCCAAAGCGAGCGCTGGGGCTTTTTTGGGCGTCGCGAAGTGATCCTAAGATTTTGGATGCTTCTGCATTTTTTATTGTAGGATAACAGATTTTTGGATTACAGTTTAGCAGTCTTTGGTTATATCTTTGGTATTATCTTTCAAATATGGTGTATTTTTACGTATTGAAGGTTTTCGGTTAAAAGGATAAACTTTGAAAAAAAGTTACACTTGAAAACAGAAGTTTAAACTTTATCACCGTAAAAATATGACGTATTATTGCTAGTTAAGAGTATATTTTAGTATCTGACATTTACTTCAACTTACTTCTATTTTGGTACATAGTTGACTCGTGAGTTGACAAAAAATCACTTGTTAATAATACACACAAAAAGTATTTGCGCTAATGTTTAGTAAAAATAAATGCAGTTTCTTTTTGGGGTAAAAGATTTCGAGTTACAAGTTAGGATGTCGTACATGACTCAATCTGAACATAATTCCAAGGAACACGGTGCCAAATCAATAAGATGGTCGAATTTGCACTTATCGGCATCCATCGATCAATCTCGATGTATTCACGAAAAAAGGGTACTGGCTTAGTTGACTTTTTCGAGAACCGACCGAGGTAGCGTTATTTTTTGTGAATANTCCCAAAGCTTTGAGTCACATAAACCATAACTATACTGGGTATATCTTATACGTAGATACATACGAAAAAAACTATCGAGTTTTTACCATCAAATACGAGCAATAACTCCATCGACACACGTATGGAACACAAAATAAAGCGACGAAAAAAAAATCCTTCCATCTTCATGTGTTAACATGTCGCAATCGCACTCCCAACGATAAACGATGGGGGCGCGCCAACAATAGCTTGCGGAGTTCAGCGATGCTTCGGCACTTGTCTATACGCACAGCCACTCGCGGATCGCACTCAATAACAAAGGCAACAGCCGCATAAATAAAACATAGACGCCATGAGTGCTGCCGTCTGCGAAACACCGCGAGCGTGTCTCGGCTCTTGGCTGAAGAGAAAAAAAGAAAAAAAGGCTAATGAAACAATGAATAAACCATCGTAGCGCAGGCGAATGTACGCTTGTATCGGTAATGGCCGATATTAGATCAGCGGGGGCTTGGTGTTAAGGAGAGAATGACGGCGATGATGTTCTTTTTTTTCTGGTGTAGACTGTGCAGGATTGTCTTGAAGATTCCGTGATACTTTGGTGGTGAACTGTTTTTCCGAGATTTCCAGTGTTGTGATTTTTTTTGCATCCTCTCTTCTATACTTGATCAATTTAACTATAAAATATTGATCAATATATTAAATGGTGCAGGTGTGAAATTAGAAAAAAGATTTCCGTAAGCCCTCGGCACTCACGGATTTTTTGAATTTAAGGTAAAAAGGTAGAATCTACTTTGAGAATTAGACAATTTAATTGTTTGATAAAAATCTTGTCAGAAGAATTTATTTGTATCGTCGTATTTTTAAAAAATGAGTAAAGTCGTGGGCGAGAAAAATAAAATATTAAAAGGAAGATGGAAAAATAAATGTGAAAATAGGCTTGAAAAATGTACAATTGCATGATAAATGAATATTCAGCAAAGAAAACGGAAATACCAAATATTAGATACCCGTTCTGTCAAAACATAGAGTTTTATCCAGGAAGAGATTGTATGGAAAAACAAAAAGGTAAGTATTTGAAACTAAGCAAATAAAAATTTGTCCTAATTTGATTATTTATTCATTTTCTCATTTATTTATTTTTATAAACTTATTTATTTACTTATACACTTATTCCCATTTTCCAAAAAAGATTTTTACAATAAAAATTTAAATACGATTTATTCCCTAAACACAAATATGTTTAAATTGAAAAAATAAATTACATACCACTAATATACTCCAACCATAAATAAATTATAAAAAACAGACAAAAATTAAATTAACAAAATATTTGAAAAATAAATAAATAAACACTCATATTTTTAACGGTGTTCGCATAAAAATGTAAATTATTTTCTGAAATTTTAAATGTCACAGTTGAAGATTAATTAATTCAAATAAATTGAAATGTGCGCTATGAACTCGCATGAAAAAAATTTAAAAAAAAATAAACCCTCGTTGAATGAAAATTTTGAAAATTCCAAGCAAAAACGAAAAACATGCGTAATTGCAAAGAACACGCGGAGCAACTTGTTAAGCTTTT